TGAACGATTCAAACTGGGTATGATGACACCTGATCAATTCAAGAGTCTTATTTTCGTGTGCAGTCTTCAGTCCCACGCTGATGCCGATATTCGAACACGAATTCTCCACAAGCTCGAACAAGAACCACAGTTGACGCTGCAAGAGATTACAGCCGAATGTCAGCGACTGATTAATTTGAAGCACGACACAAAAATGATTGAAACTGCTGATCACAGGACAGAACCCCAGATTTGTCGCACAGCTATCCGTGGTAAAGTGATGAACCGGAGTCGGTCAACTCAGAAGCCCCCGACCGCATGCTGGAATTGTGGCGCTTGGCATTTTGTGAGAGACTGTATCTACAAAGGGCATCAATGTCACAAGTGCAAGCGGTTTGGTCATAAGGAAACCCACTGTCGAGTTGCGCACAACTTCAGACGTTCATTTCCCTCGAGATTGCGCACAAACATCAACTTCAAAAGGGCTAAATTTCATGGACCGGCCACAAAGGTAATTCTCGCTGCGTTTCGCACGGAATTCGCAGGCAAGAGAAAGTATTTAACAGTAAAAGTCAATGATATTCCAGTCACCTTGCAACTAGATACGGCGTCCGACATCACAATCATTTCGCGATCCACATGGAGGAAGCTTGGGAGACCATCATTCAAGCGCACAACTCTGACGGCTCAGAATGCATCCGGGAACCGCTGAGATTGGATGGAGAGATTGAATGTGAGGTCAGCTTCAAGGAACTACAACTCCGTGGCACGATCTACCTAGTCTCATGCACCGACGTTAATCTTCTCGGAATCGATTGGATTGAGAAGCTGAACTTGTTCAATGTACCACTGAATCGTGTCTGTGCTGAAAGGAATGTCACGGTGCACCATACAGCCATACCGACTCCTCCGGGTCAAAGCATCTCTGAACAGCTTCAAACGAAGTATGCGTGTGTCTTCCAGTCGGAACTTGGACACTGTAAGAAAATGCAGGCAAAACTTACTCTGCTTCCGGATGCCAGACCAGTGTTTCGACCCAGGCGTCCTGTCCCTTATGCTTCCCAAGCACTTGTTGAACAGGAGCTTGATCGATTGCAGCAGGCCGGAGTGATCGAGCGAGTCAATTTCTCACCGTGGGCTGCGCCTATTGTTGTGATCAGGAAACCGAACGGTTCTATTCGTTTGTGTGCAGATTTTTCAACGGGCCTGAATGCTGCACTGGAACCCCATCAGTATCCGCTTCCACTCCCTGAGGACGTGTTCGCAAAGCTGAACGGAGGCAAGTATTTTGCTACTCTTGATCTTGCAGACGCCTATTTGCAGTTAGAAGTTGAACCCGAAAGCAGAAAGCTTCTAACAATCAACACGCATCGCGGTCTCTACCAGTACAACCGTTTGCCATTTGGAGTCAAAACGGCACCGGCAATCTTTCAGCAAGTCATGGATGCCATGCTGACGGGTGTAACTGGAGCGGCAGCCTACCTGGATGACATCATCATAATGGGCTCGACGCAAGATGAATTATTTCAACGATTGAATGACGTGCTGCAGAGAATCAAAGATTACGGTTTCCGATTACGAGCGGACAAGTGCAGATTTTTCCTGAAGTCAATTAAGTTCCTGGGTTTCGTGATTAACGAGAACGGCCGACGACCCGATCCCGAAAATATCGAGGTGATAGACCGGTTACCGGCGCCATCGGATGTCACAACTTTACGGTCATTCCTTGGGATGGTGAGTCACTATAGTGAATTTCTACCATGCATGCATCGCTTGCGTCATCCTCTAAACCACCTGCTGATGAAAGACGTCGAATGGAAATGGTCTGCACAGTGTCAACAGTCGTTCGAGCAACTGAAATCTCTGCTGAAGTCGGACTTATTGCTTACGCATTATAATCCGAAGCTGGAGATTATCGTGGCCACGGATGCTTCAAGCTATGGAATTGGTGCTGTCATTTCACATCGTTTTCCAAATGGATCCGAAAAGGCTATAGCACATGTTGCACGAGCGCTGACGGCATCCGAGAAGAATTATAGTCAGATTGAGAAAGAAGCGTTGGCTATCATCTTTGCCGTGCAGAAGTTCCATAAGATGGTATATGGTCGACGGTTCACGTTGGTGACTGATCACAAACCGCTTCTGGCAATCTTTGGATCCAAAAAGGGCATTCCGGCATATACGGCCAGTCGACTTCAGCGATGGGCAACTCTGCTCTTGGGATATGATTTCAGCATGCGATACTTGTCTACTGATTCTATAGGGCAAGCGGACGCCCTATCCAGATTAATCGATACCGGTAAGCGTGAGTCAGAAGACGCAGTCATTGCCTCCATCGCAGCCGAAACGGATGTCAGCTACATGGTACATGACGCCGTGAGTAATTTACCGGTCAATGGCACAATGGTGAAGCAAGCCACTGAACAGGATGCATTGCTGCAAGAGGTATTAACCTACACAAGACGGGGCTGGCCAAAGAAGTGTCCGAAAGAAGCTTTGACACAGTTTTTCACACGACGCAACTCTTTGTCTGAAGTTGATTCCTGCCTGTTTTTGCAGATCGCATTGTCATTCCAGAAATACTCAGATCACGCGTGTTACGGCAACTGCACAAGGGCCATCCAGGAATCGCTCGCATGAAGGCGCTTGCGCGCAGCTACGTTTTTTGGCCCATGATGGATAGCCAAATTGAAGACATTGGCCGATCGTGCTCTAGATGCATCAGTGCCTCCAAGTTACCGGTACGTGCGACATTACAATCTTGGCCAAACCCAGAATCGCCCTGGTCGCGGATACACGTGGATTTCGCAGGACCAGTCGAAGGAGTGTATTTCCTCGTTATTGTTGACGCCTACAGTAAGTGGCCGGAGGTAATCGCAATGCAAAACACGTCGGCAAACAGCACAATTTTTGCGATGAGACATATTTCAGTCAGCATGGACTACCAGTAACAATCGTGTCGGATAACGGGTCACAGTTTACGTCCTGCCAATTTGCTGAATTTTGCGCACATAATGGGATCGAGCATGTGAGGACCGCCCCGTATCATCCGCAGTCAAATGGCCAAGCGGAAAGATTTGTTGATACTCTGAAACGAGCATTGTGGAAGTCAAAAGAGGAGGGATCGCTGAACGAAAGATTGGAACGTTTCCTGTTGAACTATCGAGTTACTCCGAATCCTAATTCACCAGATGGGAAATCACCAGCTGAAGCCCTTATGGGTCGAAGATTGAGAACCACGCTAGATTTGCTGACTCCCAAGCGTCCGCCTCTACAACTAAGAAATTCAGTGATGGAGCGCCAATACAACAGGCGGTATGGGGCACGAAAAAGGATTTTCAAAGTGGGCGATTTTGTGTTTGCGGCTGCTAACCAAGGACGGCGGATCGCTTGGATACCAGGACGAGTCGTGCGACGCCGAGGCAAGGTGATGTATGATGTTCAAGTTGGTACACAGGTATGGAGACGCCACGTCAATCAGTTGAGGTCACGGTATACACATGGTGCGGTCGTTCCGAAAGCCAACGGATTTGACGTCAATGAATTGCTGGACAATGGCAAGCCTAGTACCTCTGCAGGTGGCGACGTTCGTCCAATGGAATGCATGGAAAATGGAGCCCGGTACAGGCCAAAGAGAACAAGAAGATTCGTGCAGCCTCTCCAGGTGGATCCGCGTCGGAAGAGCTATGTGAACTCCAGGTAACCCATTTTTAAGAGAGGGAGGTATTAGGAGAACAGCTATTAGACATTCATTTTTTGTGAACGAGCTTAATAGCTATTCTTTATTCTTCCTATTTTCTACTTCTTGACTGTTGTTTAAACGCTCTACTGGGTTAGCCCGATTGGTACACCCACGTCATTGTTAATGGACGCTCATCGTCATGTCCTTTTCAGCAGTGCCATTTGCAAGAACACATTCCATTGGTTTTTTCTTCTCATCACTGTTCTACTTGGTTATGTTAAAGGAATATTTAGTTGTCACACGATTATTGTACTAGTTTTAATTTTTGGGTCTGCATTTCTTATTCTCGTTTGTTTCGTGACATTTGTTTAAACGCTACATTTCGTTATTCTGATTGGCCAGTGCCCGTCACTGTAAATGGATGTTCGCTTTACGCTTGGAGTCCCATGATGCTATTTTTAAGGACATATGCGATTCGCTCTTGAGTACACGGTTGCTTATTCGCCCGTTGCATTTGACGTTTTTTCCTTCTGTTGGTTGGCTCAAGTGTAATTTAGTAGCTTCCCTTCATTTTGCCTTCAAAACTATATAAGCAACTGTGATTTCATGTATACAAGTCTCTTTCTGGCTCGTCTTTGGACTTCTTCTTGCGGTCGTGGGGTGAAGACGTCAGAGGCGACACAACAGCTGGAAACACTTGTTGACATGGCTAGAAGCCGACCTCAAGGACGTCCGTGCTGTGAGCTTGTTTGTCCCACCCCATCCCTCTTTGCCTCCCTCACCAACCACGATTTCACTTCTTAGCATAATAAAGTTTGCATAAGAATCTTTTGTTGCACGGTAGCCGGCTGGCAGCTTTCCTGAAAGATGCCCATCCGTTACTGGTAGCTCAGCTGGAATGCATCTGTTGCATGTTCTTTTCTTTTATGTAGTGCGGCATAGCAGCTGAGGCGTTTTCCATCTCTAGTTAACATGATGATATCCATCGCCCAGTTTGAGACAGCAAGGCACGCAACTGAAAACTACTCACCACCTAGCCTTAAGTTTTGTGATTTTTGCCAGTAGTTGTCACCAGTTCAAATACGATGAGTTCGCTGCTCTTGTGGACAATTTCATACCATGTGCAAGCACCGCGATCGCTAAAGATGTCAGAAATAAGCCATGACATGCACTGCTTGTTACCTGTAAACATCAAACTTAGCACTCTTACCGTGTGCTCTTGGTACAGTTAGGCGCAAAAAACGAAAGCCTGCCCAGGAAGTGTATGAAACAGGAGTCCTAAAAAATAACGGTTCTCAACCGGTTCTCGGCATAAATCAAGATTTTAATAAATACTTACTTTTCCATTAGTGGTACCGGCACAGAGGCCGGAAGTGAAAGAGCGAAGCACAACGGAGCCACCGATGCCAACATCCGTAGTTCGAATCACCTGGCCCCATCGTTCTTGTGCATCTAGTTCCAGCAACGTTGGTTGCAATCCGCCAAGGAAAATACGTGAGAAGTCAGCCTCGTTTGAAGCGCCCCATGAACTGCTGCTGCTGTCGCCGCCGCCACCCTTACTGAAACCAGGATTAGCACCAGTGGGCCCGGTAGCAGCCAGACATTCAAGTTCTACCATGAGCTTATCACTGAAAAGGCGGAAGCACAGTACAAAATCAAGCGATACAGACATCTCTAATTTATACGTTGGACGTAGGAAGAGCTTATCTGCGGACTACAGGAACAGTAGGGTAGAGGGAAAAGAAACATAATCGGACAGATGATAGAGGTGGCACGTAGAGCTCTTGATTGCTAAAACAGGTCGAGTGGGGAGAGTGAGGAGCTGAAGGGTGTTCATCTTCGTAGTGTGGCAGAGCGTAAAGCTGAAAGAGATGTCCAGTCTAAGAGGTGATTTCAGTACAACAGTTAGTCCGACACTTCCAGTTCACCCGATATACTGAAGGAATAGAAGTTAGAAGGATTGGCACAGATCCAAGGAGTGAAGAAAGTCAGATAGTGCTTTTACTCGCCGATGTGGATAGCCCTATGAACGTTATTCAAAAGAATGCCACGCATTAAAGCGGTGGAACACCGCGCACATTATCTGTGATTTCAGCTTGCCACGGGGGAGCCTACCTAATCAGATACTATAGGCGAACAAGATGTTCTGACACGGATGATCGATGCACAGGTGGATAACGTGATCCGGTCACTATAGACAATATAAAGTTGTTAAGCAATCGAGCACAATATAAATGGACAAACATAAGCTGGCGGACCATCGAATTATGAATTCGGCAGTCCGATAGGGTATCAGCAAGGTTTCTTAGACCCCGATGGTTTAGGGCAGGTAACCTGTAGGTGACTTCTGCGCAGCGAACGAGCCTCATTCAATACATAGAAATAGGCGCGATGTAGAGGTGTGCACACCGAACTAACAGATGGGGCACAGAGCAGACGAAGCAGGGGGATGAAAGAGCTAGATGGAAAGATGATATTACCTGGGGACGTAATCTGGGGGGCTTCACAGGAAACTTACCGTGTCTGGAGCTTCGTTGAAAGATTAGGATCAGAAAGCAATAGACACTTTGACGCAAGTGGGCGGCTACAGAGTACAACCAGTGTCTGGTTGGTGCCGAGTATATGCGGGTGTGAGATAATTTGTGCATATGTTCGGAGCGAAATAAACAATACGATGACTCGGCTTGCACTGTACTGACTGGGAAGGGTTTGATATAAGGCATATGAAAGAAACCTGGTGAACAAGCAGCATACTAAGGCATGCCGGCCGAAGACAACGCATGACGTCTGTGCTTCACGCACACCGAGATGACCGAAGGAGCAGTAAGTTATTGTGGTCCACGGCAACTTCCAGTGGACAGAGTAACGGAAGCAATCAGAGCCTCCATGTAGAAGGAAAAGAAGATACGCTAACTTGAGACAGCAGAATCATATTCCGATAAACGTCATCAGCACCATGAATACACGTTAGTTGAGGGTGAGAAACACATCTCAGCTAAGGTGTCGCAATAAAAATACGTAAGTTACACTGCACACTACACTAAAATTATACTTAATAAAATCGAAAAGATGTAATATAATGTTAAATATTATATTTTGCATTTCTTGTGAGATCGGATTTGGAGGAAGAATTTAAAAGAGAAGGTGATGGACAAAGAAACTCACAACACAAACACCACTGGGGCCGACTCTTCGCCATATCAGTAAGTATGTCCAACCAAACGTATTCATCGTCCTTGGGACCCCAGCCAGGTAGTCAGGATGCACCAACCGACGCCAACTTCGAACTGAGGATTTTCATTTCTCTCGACCAAGTCATCGCTTGGTCTCTCCTCCTGCTCTTCCAACCGCATGCCCGGCGCGCAAACTACGCACGTCGCGGGAGTCAGTGTGCTGGCATGCGCAACATGTAGCTAAGCCATCGGAGCGTGGTGCGTGATATGATGGTGCTGAGCGGTTCACTCGCTCTTCCTGCACCAAATACGCGACGCCGAACACGCTCATTGCTCACACGGTGCTCCCACCAAACATGAGCTAAGCTACGAAGGCAGTGATGGTCGAACGTGACCAGCCTCTTTATGTCCGTTGACTTGATGGGTCAAGTTTCACAATCGTATAATAGGATTGAACGGACGGCTGCATTATAAACTTTGCCCTTCAGGGAAAGAGTGATGTCACGTCTGTGCTACAGGTTGCGGAGCTTGGCAAAAGCACCTCGAGCTTTGTTATACGGTTCGTAATCTCTCTACGATCACACAGGCGCCAATA